CAATTTATCATCTCCGAAGTCCCGCGGTACAGGCTACTTTCCTCCTGGGAGGTCATTTTCACCACAATAAGTTCAGGGACGACTTGCATAGCCTAAGATCCTACTCACACGTTGGGATGGAGCGTACACCAACGTCCAGCTTCTCATGCACGCCCCAACATGAGTTGCTACCCCACTTACGCTCCCGAGTAGGCCTATCTGCCGAAAGTTTGGCCAACAATTCCTTGCTGCTTTGTACTCGCCTCTCTTCAATCGAAAACAATGCATTGTGCGGGCCGCACATCTAGTTCCGCAGTTTTTGCGTGGTTGGTCCGGTCGTTCAGCTTGCTCGACGTGAGTAATAAGCTTTGCTTTGATGGCTCTATGTCCTATTGATCCACTTCAAGCAACGAATGCCCCCCCCCCATCCACCGTCCGATCCATTTTGGATCTCACGCCAGAGAGTTTTGGGGTGTCTTAGCTTTGAGTCCTCCACCGCCCAATGGGGGACTTGTATACAGTAGTATAGTTTTTACTGCCGTACCAATAGGCATTAACCTTAGGTAAGCTTTTGCATACTTTGGACTGTACCCTCCTCATCCTCTGGGGGAGGCAGAGGGGGGGGCGGGCGCATGGCCTCTATTCGGGTACGGGTTGGGGGTCGGGTCTATGTGTACTGCATTCTCGAATTGTCCCCTCACCATAGCTACTATGAATTTTCAGTATACAGCTATCCTTACTCAACGCGTCTATGTGTCCGTCATATCTCCAATACAAATCAACCTGTGAGGTTTCAGAATACAGCTTTCTTCACTCAATGCGTCTATGTGTCCGGCAATCGCAAACGTCACTTTACCCATGAGGTCTCAGTTGCAGCTATCCTCACTTAAAGCGTCTATGTATCTGGCACTATCAAACATCACTCAACTCATGAGGTTTCAGTATGTAGCTATTCCCACTCAGCGCGTCCATGTGTCTGGCAAACTCAAAAACCAATCCATCTGTGAGGTTTCATTATGCAGCTATCCTCACTCAACACGTCTAGGTGGCCGGCAATCTCCAACACAAATCACCTGTGAGGTCTCAGTATGTATGTGTCTATCCTTACTCAAAGCGTCGTTGTGTCCGGCACTCCAACATTGCTCAACCGGTGGGGTTTCAGTATGCAGCTATCCTCACTCAACACGTCTATGTGTCTGGCAATCTCCATTCCAAATCACCTGTGAGGTTCAGTATGTGTCTATCCTCACTCAATGCGTCGTTGTGTCCGGCACTCCAACATTGCTCAACCGGTGGGGTTTCAGTATGCAGCTATCCTCACTCAACACGTCTATGTGTCTGGCAATCTCCATTCCAAATCACCTGTGAGGTTCAGTATGTGTCTATCCTCACTCAATGCGTCGTTGTGTCCGGCACTCCAACATTGCTCAACCGGTGGGGTTTCAGTATGAAGTTGTCGCCACTCAGCGCGTCTATGTGTCTGGCAAACTCAAAAACCAATTCATCTGTGATGTTTCAGTATACAGCTATCCCCACTCAACACGTCTATGTGTCTGGCAATCTTATACATTACTCAACCTGTGAGGTTTCCGTAAACAGCTATCCTCACTCCACNAAGTTGTCGCCACTCAGCGCGTCTATGTGTCTGGCAAACTCAAAAACCAATTCATCTGTGATGTTTCAGTATACAGCTATCCCCACTCAACACGTCTATGTGTCTGGCAATCTTATACATTACTCAACCTGTGAGGTTTCCGTAAACAGCTATCCTCACTCCACTCGTCCATGCGTGACGCGTCTTAGGTAGCGCAAACTATGGGGGCTATGTTTCGGGTGGCGTGTTTTACAGCGCTTTGCCAACTGCGCCAACCCACGTATGTCCAGAGCATGGGGGGGGGGAGGGGGGGGTCCCGTTTCTCTAATTCATATATACAGCATAGGGGTCCCGCGGCGGGGAACCATTTTTTCCGTGGGGTACCGTACGCACGAGCTAGGATCCTTTTTTGCGAACCCCGAAGTCATGACCTCACAAATGGGAACGTCGCACACCAAGAGAGCACCTACTCCACTCAAGCGATGCGTGTAACGTCGTCACTTGTTGTCACGACATGTCGCACATAAGCTAGTTGCGTGCAGAGGGCTCTAAGCCCCATGAGAAGCAAAAGGTCGAAAGCCTTTTTTCGGCCCTCGGGGTGGGGGGGG